TTATTTTGATTCTAAGTATTCATTCACGCCTGTTTAAATCGAGTTGACTTGTAGTGGCATTGGACCATAATTTCATATTCTCGAGTTCCATTGCCAAACAACAAGGATGACACTTTTCCTAAAACATACGGTGAGTTTCAGCCATAAGTTCCCTGCAATCATAAGGTCATTTTAGATGGCTCGTTCAATGGCTGACACAGTTATCTGGATTCATTCGATTGTTTTGATCCGAGCGCGTGGCAAAAACATCATCAGCATCAAGCACCCTGGAATTAATTGCCATACTGCATGTTTTATTGTGGATACTTTTGGATCATTACTCCTCACGAATGGCGTTATATATGTCGTCCACTGAATAATCTAATTTTCAAAAATAATCCAGGCGAGTTCAACTATTTCACTTAATGATTTTTTGTACCTAACATGTATATGTTTCCTAGCTGCTTTTGCCATATATTTGTAAGTGTCCCTAGGCTAAATGCAGTAACTTCTTATGGAATGTTTATAACGCGTCATATTCCTGCCTAAAGTTTCACAAGCAGTCTTAACTTTAAAATTGTTTTTCTGGTCATGTTCATTATTTTTAATTTTTCATATACGTCAACAACCTGCATGTTAACCTGACCCGTACATGCGTTGCACTATATCTTCATGTCTTTTGAATTCAGAAATCATCTGAATCGCCTTTAACATTTATCAATAAACCCATCATAGTCATTGTTGCTAATCGTATTTGGGTTTATGGATTGGTTTATCATATTAGCAGCCTGAAATGCGAACATAGTTTAGATAATAAGATTAAAAATTTAGGTACTATCAACTGCACTAGTAAAATAACTAAATCCCTAGGTAGCTGTTGGCTAAACAAACGTTTAAAATCAAAACTCCGTAGCCTACTAGAATTAACACTAAACGAATCTTTCTGAATTATAATTTATAATTAAATTAGGCGTCTCGGATTCTCTAACGTTACAAATTTCTGATAATTTCTAATCACCTAAAGCAACAATACCTATTTTTCCACTGACTAGTCCTCATCAACACCATGACTAGTTAAACATAATTGTTTCAGGATATCGTCATAGAGCATTGTCATGACTTGACAATCACGTAATATGATTGATAAAATTAATGAAATTATTAACAAAATCGGTCAGCAAATTGACTTATAATTATCACTAGTGTTGTTTTTCTTCATTCACTACAGATGATTACAGTATGTTTCTCTATCAGTTGCTCATTCAGTAAATATCTCAAAACTTTGTCAGTCTAATTGATGGTTTAGCGACACAATCATGCATGCAAAGAATCAGTATAAGCAGTCGAGCAAATCTCCTGCAAACTCAAAACATCAATGTCGAATTTACCCCAACACTGATTAAGGTTCAAGCTATTATCATAGGCATGAGTTGGGAGTGCACTTCCCTTGGTTACAACTTATGTTCTCCCTGATAATCACATGAGCATCACTCACTATTAATCATCTTGTAAAAAATTATTTAGCCAAATACACCTTGCAGCACCACATCACTTAGTAATATGACACATAGGTTTAACTAATTTCAATAACGTATAACCACTATATCTCAATTAAATCGTGTTCCGCCTTATGATAAACTGCATACTTTCAACTAACTTGTATACCCAATCAGCCGGCAAGTATATATATAAATAAATAGTCTGCCGCAGATCAGAACATTGAGTCTAGAGCATGTCTCTTGCGAATACACTCATGTTTAACGATTTGTTCCTAGCTATCAGTCCAAAATTCACATAATTACCACTCACGTATTTAAATTTTGTTTTGATGACCATTCATGTGTATTAGTAGTATTAATAAATTCTATCACGGTCAAGTAAAAATGAGGTTGAGAAAATCTCCCCGTAACTAAACAAACCGTATCAAACTAACTGGAACACTAGTTGGAATTCTTCTCCACGGTAATACTTTTGTTCCTTCAGTTAACCTACTAATACAGATGCAATTGGAAATCGACTCATATGGACTACTTACCGGCATAATCGTTATTTGATTTCATAAGTTAGACTAAAAGTAGTACTAATATTAACATTTCTACAATATTCATAACTTTAATATTTCTAAACACAAAATACTTACTACCTATGCGTTAAGTTATCAACCAACGGCTATTACACACGCATCGTTTTATTATTACTATTATTATTATTGTAATCCCATTTTTTATAGCTCGAATAATCACTCAAATTTTCATTGTAAGCATGTTAAGCATGAAGGCAGATATTTTAAAATTATTACATGTATTTCCCGACCAGATGCTGCCGTCTTCTTTTTGATTTATCTTTCAGCTTGTCATCACCCGGAGGATTCTTCCTAGTCTTGGTAACCTTCGGCACACTACAGTCCCATCCAATTTGGTATCGAACCAACACTACGTTGATTCTGGTGGGAGAGTAGTGTAGTGGCATTGGACCATAACCACACTATCCTCAAAGCTGAATACGAGATTACTCGGGAAATAGGTATTCAATATTTAACGCGAAGAAATACCTAACGATGGAGAAGGCGCGAATAATGAATTGAATAGACTAGAGTTGATCGAACGGCATGGTTCGGCCATGCAGGCGTGGTCTCTGCTGAATGTTACCTTATATCTTCTTTTCATATTAAATATATTGTTCTTTCTCTAGCCTAACCTTGTTCTACATCATGTATTGGTAATTGATGCGATACAGTGAGTTGGTGTAGTTGATGGTGTGACTTCCACGTAAGATCTTATAGATTAGGCAGTCATATCATGACAAATCCACAGATTTAGGATTAGGTTTATTATTAGAGTAGTACTAATATCATAGTAGATTATAATTCTACAGACTCACTTGCCTCGTCCAGGGTGTTATTTTGCTGAATGCAAGAACCAAAAGTTAAAGGGCAAAGCAACTTTTAAACTTTAGAAAACATTTTAAAAGTCTATATCAGCTTAATACAGTAGATCTACTTGAAATTCATCATTCCAAATTTATATGTAAAGACTGTGAGGTAAATTATCAAAGGGCAGTTACTTAAGTGTGTTGTCACGCTGTTTGTACTGCAAATCTTTTCTTCCTGGAATCGTATCTTAGCTGGTTTATTCACAGTCCATCCTAGGGATTCTTTCAAGAGGAAACTTTATATCCATGAACATATTAAAGGATTACCTACTTCCTAATATTCACTATTCTGACACGAACCTTTAGCCACTGTATAGCTCTAATAAACCGACCAGAAAATTGCATGAAGGCTGATGGTTCTAATAATACTACTGCCTTAAGTAAAATATGTCAAATACGTCAGCAAAACTAAACTAAGCTATCCCACCAATAACTTGCTTTGGAATTTTAAACGGTTGGATGTGCGAGCTCTACACGATTATCTACAACAGGTGGATTGGGATGTTCACCCCCAACTCGATGTGGACGGTCATTGGGACTACTTACTGCAAACACTCTTACGTGATACAAACCATTCAAGTCCTCAAACGGTTCCCAAAAGCCACAAGCCACCTACAATAATCAAGAACCGTACCTTTCGCCTGCTAAGCCGTAAAAGGCACTGTTGGGCGGAATACGAACGAACTGACAACGAAGGAGCGTATAGGAAATACAAACATATCAGGAACATATGCACGAAGGCTATGAGAGAAGACAGGCTCCAGCAACAGAAAAAGCTTATGGACAAATTTTCCTCTAACCCTAGAAGCCTATTCCGTTATGCAGCCTCTCTTCGTCAAGCCAAAACAGGAGTTTCTCAACTGCTAGGTCTTAACGGCCCGACAAACAACGATGGTGACGTCGCTAACCTTCTGGCGGGACATTACTCTCAAACATTTCAGCCGGCTGACATCAACTTTATTGACGACAGTTTCATCTGCAATTCCACAGGGCTTTCCGAAGTGGACCTATGCACTGACTTGGTGTTCCGGAAACTGCAGCACTTAAGACTAGATACTTCTCCTGGCCCGGATATGGTTAATTCTGCCATACTGAGCGAGGCAGCCTTAATCCTGGCAACGCCACTTAGCGTGATGTTTTCACACTCGCTAAGCCAGGGCAAATTACCGGAAAATTGGATGTTGGCTCACATCACACCAATTTTCAAAGGAGGTCGATGCAGCGAACCTTCAAATTATTGGTCGATGGCTCTTCTGTTATTACCTTCAAAGCTCATGTAGTCCCTGATATGTGACGGTTTATACGACTATCTACTGACATTAAATTTCTTCTCACCTCAACAGCATGGTTTCAGAAAGGGTTACTCTTGTATAACCAACCTGCTGACTGCGGTGGACAGATGGACAAGCATCCTCGATCGCAAGGGAAAGGTTGACATCATCTACCTAGATTTTTCAAAAGCTTTTGATGAGGTTAACCATTTATGTCTTATCACAACGCTCAAACGACTAGATATCGGACCACCTCTGATCGATTGGCTTACTTCATACCTGAAAAATCGACACTTTAAGGTTAGGATTAATTTCACTTTATCTCAGGCTACGGAATGTCCTAGTGGGGTCCCACAGGGCTCAGTACTAAGGCTTCTTATCTTCTTTATCTACATAAACGATCTTCATCAACAGGTAACGTCAGAAATATTACTCTTTGCCGATGATGTTAAACTTTGGAGAGAGATACGCAACCAAGACGATACGCAGGCACTTCAGGAGGATCTGACTCGACCCCAAAGTTGGGCAGATAATAATGGACTTACTTTTAACACTTCAAGGTGTAAAGTAGTCCATCTGCGACATGTCGCAGACTACAGTTAGAACTTAGATACCTCCTCTTTAGTAATATCCCAAGTCGAAAAAGATTTAGGAGACTTGGTGCCCCATGATTTAAAGTCTTACGCTAACTGTGACAAAAATGCCTTCCGAGCAAACCTTGCATTGGTAACGTTGAAGCTCATTTTTGGACAGTTCGACGGAAGAAATTTCCATATAATCTTCAATAGTTTTATCCGTCCCCATTTAGAGTATGGCAACATGGTATTTCCCCCCTCACTCCAAAAGGTTAAGGACACCCTGAAGCGTATCCAACGGCGAGCCACGAAACCAGTTCGAGGACTCAAATTTAAATTTTACGAAGAGCGCCTCCATTCACTAGACCTTTACCCATTAGAGTATAGGCGTCTAAGAGGTGATCTATTAATGGCTTATAGTATTCTCAACGCTTCTGGACATCCTCTTTAACATCTACTTTGGCTTATTATTAACACCAAACTAAGGGGTAACACCCAGAAACTGGAGACACAACATAGCAAAACGGAATGTAGAAATAGCTTCTATTCCTTAAGAGTTGTCAAATACTGGAGCTCACTGCCGGCCTAGCTAGTTCAAACGACTTCCCAGGAGTCCCTCAAGATGCAACTTGACCTGTTTGTTCTAAAGGACCAAGGACAGCATCATACTATGATTTACCAATTTCTTTTTCCTCCTTTATTGTCAACATACCTAGGTTCCTGCCTGGAGAATTTGGTGATCCCCTGCTACTAGACACGGAAGCCTGTTAAGCGAAAGCTTCTTCTATTCCCTCCTCAACCATTTGAACCATTTGAACGTCAGATACACGAAGAACATACCAAACTGCATAAATCTGTCAAGTTCGCCTCACTATATGACGCGAAATAAATACTTTTGATACTTCCATTATTTTAAAACCGTTTTTGCTTTTACAATAGATCAATTAGTTAATTTTAGCATTTCACAAAGGTGTTGGGTATTGAACAACCTAAGCCTTCGATTCGACCCGAACGTTGCACAGAGGTTAGAAGCTCGAGGTTGTGTCTCTAACACATTCCTAAGACGTTCATTTGGTAATTTCATGGCACAAAAATACATATTTAAATCGAAATAGGTGAATCGTCGAGAAAATTTGCAGTCGGCCACATTTATGGTTTATATGTAAACCAGACGTCGCAACTCGATCGTTTGTTAGTGAAATTTAAAACGTACTTTGCATTTGCACCTCACTTCCATATATCGGCCAATATTTTCCAGATTGTCACATGTTTTCCTTCTTGGATCTTTGTTCTTCATAAATCGGTATAGCAGTCATTAAGTCTAGATTGTTTTGTTCATTCCCACCTTTGCACTAATCAAAAGGCTTTATTAGTGCTCTAAAATAAATTACGTTTCTTAATCTACCAAAACTTTATATGTGTGACTTTTCAGACAGGAGCTCTTTATCTGATACTTAAAAACCGGTTAAGTCTACATTATAATATATCGTCTTCTTGAATTATGAAATTATTGTAATTCTCTAAGTGGACATACGTTATAAATTGCTATTGCGTTCGAAATCATTTTAAATATCTAAAATGTTAACGAGCCCCCCTGTTCCACTTATCAGGACCATCATTTCAGCGTATGGATGAAAAAGCATCGAGACCTCTTAATACATGTTGAAGTGCTACGGCATATTAATTAGTTATTTGTCCATGTTCTCTGTTTAAAAGCTAATGGGAGTATCCAATAACCCAACTTGTGATTGGAACACGATCAAAACTAGTAACAACAACTGAGAGTTTGATAATTTGACTACTGGGCTACCGTTACTCTAGAGACCGTTATCACTAACTGTTGTGACTGGGACGAGTTACTGCGTTGGCTGCTTGTTTTAACTGAGAGAGAACTGTCTTTCACTGCTTGTTACGACTGAACAAAGAACGCTACAGATCGATATAAGAAAGTAAGACTGCACAAACGATTGACCTATTCTAGCTCTAGACCTATTATGAACCGCATCATTAAAAACACGTCACGTCATTCAGTTGTCTAGTGAAACTCAAATGGGTCGAACAGAACAGTAGTTAGCGCTAATTCATCAGCAATTTAGTGTATGTATACAATTTGTATCAATGGATTAACTATTTCAACTACTAAATATAACTAGATTACGGAATTACGTACTTGTTCCCTGCTGACACTAATGTAGCGTCATTTTTAATGGCTTAAGATAGGGAATACACATGTTTAACACTGAAAGTACGCTAATCATCTGCTATAATCTAGTCACGATAGGTTTCAGAACATTATGTTCCTTTAAATTAACGATTGCTTTGATACTTGCAGAATTTTTCAATTTACGAGAAGTGTCCAGCGAAATTCAAATAGTAAATTCTGTTGAAGTGGGTGTTTCTTTTAGAGGGAATACGGTTTGATGTTTTAATTTAGCGTTGTGTACTTTGTGCGAACGCTCGTAAAAATCTGAACTAAGTTTAACAGAATATTTATTTTTACTTAGAGTTTCTCTGAATTACTTCTATCACTTCTAAAAATATTCCAAAACACATAATTACATCACGGGTTGAAAACATACGGACACCTAGAAGTAGTTCTTTATGAAGTCATTTTGTTTATCTTTATCATTGTTTTACTATGCATATCAAATTTCTGTTGGTTTTTTAGTTTTTTAGAGATCACTGTATGTCAACATTTAAATTTTACCATAATGTTCTGTGTACATTCACCCGAAAATATGCAAAAAAAGGGAAAACAAGTTAGTTCTCAATTGACTTGTTTCATTTTGTTTAGCCAAAGGAATTGCTGCCGTCGCTAAAATACGTGAAATTAATGTGGAGACAGATCCAGAGAAAATTGTAAACTGCTGCTGTATTAATTATAGGATAGGTGAACAACCTATTCCACTGAAGCCAGATAAGTATGAATTTTTTATAATTAATCCCCGTAGTGAGTATCCGGATTGGCTCTGGAAATTACGGACAGATAGAGGTCCTCCCCCTCTTGATGAGGTTGATAAAAATTCCTACTATTATTGGAGACGAATTAGAAAAATGAACCGTAACCTGATCAATAAGCTGGCTTCCGTGGATGGGTGGCATAGGAAAGATCATCGGTCGTTTGAAAATCATGCCCTTCGATTTTATGGTAACTTGTACTTAGCTGTTAGTGAATGGTCTAATTCAAAGAAACTACTTGAAAATAAAAATTAATCCATACCACCTTGCATTTACACAGCACACCCAAGTGTGATTTTTATCTGCCAAATAAGTTGCAAGTCACCTGATAGTCAAGTGGAAACTTTATTATGGCAATTAGTTCCATTCGGTGATGGCTTTTAAAATCTTTAGTAGTGAATGATAACGTATTGTAGTGTGTCCCGTCACTTTCCTATGTGTGAGTAGCTTTCATTTTCCAGTAAAATATACCTGTTCACAGTTATTAGTAGAACCAGTTAACCTACAATATTTATCTTGACCCACTACACAACAACTCCAAAAGATTCCGAACTGTATGTGAGGGTCTTAACATTTAGAACTCGACAGTTATTCTGATAACTAGCCAAGGATTTAAATTTATAGATCAGGCATCTAAACACAAAAAGTTCATTTGAAAAGCCCATAGTAACACTTTACTTGCAAATAGGATAGTATGAACCGTCTGCTACAGCTTCGCGCAAATAATAACTTATTTTTAATCAGTACACAATCATCGCCTATAGGATACGAGGATTTCTACCTGTGCAATTCAAACCTGGACTTATTACAATCAGTTAACTCGTGGGTTTATGACTTGGAAAATCACCGTAGTTACCAACAGGTGATTGAAATATCAACTCACATTTTTATCAAACATCAAACTATTTTAGATTCAAGAATAATTTTTAAATCACTAGTATGTATATGGGCGACTGTTTGGTGGATCCCGAGGGTTCATCTGGGGGAGTTAAAAACTCTGCTTCCGAACCTATAGTGTACGTGAGCTCCAGTATCCTGAATGAACAAAAGGCGTATGAATCTGTTGTTAGCCATTGGCTACCTCCAAGCCAAAGGCTTGAGAAGTGGCCTCCTAAGAAAACCACCTGCTTAGGTTTGGGCGCCCGGGCTGTATCCCAGCCTCACACAAATCGAATGACGAAGTATGGCGCATATATATTTGGTACTTTCTTTTACCAATGTTTTTGTGTTTAAATAAATTAATGGGCGACTGATTTGATTTACAAGACGTGTCAGTAGCGAACAAATTTGCTTACGGTTGTGCAAAATTTACTTATAAACACTCAACTTCTTGGCGACTGATAATTGATTCTGGGGGATACTTGGTAAAACACTGGGCACATTTCTTTTATTTGGAGCAACTAAAAAAGGATGCTTTAATTTGCCAATTGCTTAAGTAACTCCGACCGAAGTTTGCTATCCCTGAAAGGTAACTAGTTGAGTAACATATTTGTGATCTATAAATGACTTCATCTACTCAAAAGCTACACATTACTTGATGGAGGTTAGTAAATCTCGGTTTCTCTCATGGATGACAGAGGTATTCTGACTGAACAACTTACTGAACCGTCCAGAATTCAATGGTGAAGTACAAGTGCCTAATGATTCTAGATGAAAATTATTTTCTCACTCATCGTCACCAAGGACATGTATAACGCACGTGATTATTGTCAGAGTATAAGCCATTTACTAATCATGTCTAAAACATTTAGTTTCATTATACTTCCCAGATGTGTGAAAGTCGTTGAGGACTAACTGGTGAGGAGCAGTTTGGCATTCTTCTATATCATAAACGTGTTGATGTTGCCCGCCACTGGTCGTTATTCTTGGTTCCGGATTCCCTTGTACTCTAGACAAAGCTGGTTTAACCATTTATTGATGATGGATGCACTTGAAGTGTCTAATAACATCGCGTTTTTTTATATGGAGACACATTATGTTTCTTCATTATCTCGAAATGGCAATAAGGTTGACTGTAATTGCCTTACCTTACTTTGCCCTCCAAGTTCACAACATCTAGAAATTTCTATACCTTATGAGTTCTCATATTCTTAATTAGAATTAAATCCGTGTTAGCAGTTGTAAATAATAATATGAAAATATTAATCTCCGAAAAATTAAATTTCTTACGAGTTCAACAATTAAAACGTGCTTATAAGCAGAGATGGTTAGTGGCTGGCAGTGGAATCCAGGACTCACATTCAAACAACCAATACAAATGAAATGAAACAGACTGTTGTGGAACCATAGATCTCGTCCAAACACAGATATGAATCTTCTCAAGCAATCCTTTGTTTCCTGCTTGTGGGAAACTGTGTTCTAAAACCTAGACAAATGCCAGTAGTTTTCGTGTCGAGTTTATCGGTGTGTTCTCAAGACTTTTTTTATATACTAAAACCAGGGTATTTCTTTATATGTTTGTCCCTATGCTCATCATTATAAATGTCAAAAGTTTCGATTTTATATTCATCAGTTCGACGTAAATGCTCGATGATTCCGCAGTTTTTGTTCACAGATAACGTTATTTAGTGTGTAGTATCCTCAATGATCTTGATTGCGACATTTACTTTTTGCATTACTAATGTAGTCACACTTCTTTGGATGCTATAAATTTCCCGCTATCTTAATAATCACATTATTTTGTTTGCAACTAATTTTTATCGTGATTAGTACAAATGAAAGTTTAAGAATTAATAATAAGATGGATTGATACAATCATATCAAGATTTTTAAAAATGATGATAAGAGTTGTCAGTGGTTTATAAGTTGATCTTGTTTAAATGAGCTCAAATAGAGCAATGTATAGTTTCCAAGTAGAATAACCAAAAACATCCTGTAGTTTCTAAATTTGCTAATCGGTCCAAAAATTTCATGTACTTAAGAAATCAAACGCCTCGGATTTTCATTCATAAAGTAACTGTCAGTACTTAGTAGTGTTTTCCCACATCAAGTTTGAAAATGTGTACCAATGTATCTAAAACAATCAGCTTCTGAATAACTTATTAGTGGGGAAAATTTCATCATAGAGTCATCTTTTATTATTATTTTATTTGAACACATGAATATTGGCACAAGAGAGCGCCAATATATATGCGCCACACAAAACAATGAGAATTCGAAGAGAAATAGAAAAAAAGCTAAGGAGCGCAAAAGTAAAGAGAACAATAACGAAGAGATTGGTGTAAGGTAGTGTGGTAGTAATGAGGGAACGGAAAGGTGCAATCGGAAAAAATCTTTCAGGTAAGCGAGACACAACCACTTTTTATGAAGAAAGTAAAATAAGGTTACAGCAGGATCGCCACTGGCTTCTATTCTGAGCCATATCTGATAATGTCTCTAGCCACTGTGTAGCACCATCTCTCAGAATCCAACCAGGAAGTCGTGAAGGACCAACACAAGCCAGTCCTTTGCAGCTTTTTCATACCACGACACCATGTCATGCACTTACCACCTCTCCGCTTCTTCCAACCATTCCCAGAGTCGGCAAATAATGCACGACGTGGAATTCTCTGGGACGACATTCGGAGAACATGTCCAAGCCACCGAAGTCGGTGTTTCAAGATGGTGACACCAATTGAAATATCATATCTGTGCCCGAACACACGATGCTGAACCTCTGCATTACTGACATGGTATTGCCACTGAATGTCAGCGATCCTTCGGAGACAGCGATGATCGAACACAGAGAATCGTCTAACGTTCTCAACTCGGAGAGGCCAGGTTTCACAAGCATAGAGCAAAACTACTCTCACCGACGCGTTGTAGATCCGACCTTCTGCAGTCAGACTAACATCACAAAGGCGCCAAAGATGGCCCAGATTGGCATAAGCCGGTCAGGCTTTCACAATTCGTGCATTGATCTCATCACTCACACCACCGCCAGCACTTATGCAGCTACTCAGATACACGAACTTCTCGAATTCGTCTATCTGCTCACTATCCAAGGTGAGTACAGGATTAGAATCCTGCCAGTCTTGTAAAAGTACTTTGCACTTCGAAGGTGCAAAGCACATACCATACTTATGAACACTGATTGCCAACTGATTAAGTGCGGATTGCATGGATTGGGCATTATCACACAGTAAGACAATATCATCCGCATACTCAAGGTCGAGAAGTCTTACTCCGGGCAACAGATCAACACCGCCATTACTTACATCCATCCGAGCCATTTTCAGAATGTCATCGATGGCAAAGTTGAGGAGGAATGGTGAGATTGGGCGACCCTGCCTAACCCCTTTGCTCGAATGGAACAATGGAGAGAGGTGGTTGTATGCCCTCACTCTACTCAAGGTGTTTGTATATAGGGCTTTTAGGATGTTAATGAACTTATCAGGCACACCCTTCTTCAATAGACAATCCCAGAGAACAGTCCTACCCAACGAATCGAAGGCAGTCCTGATGTCAAGAAACACTACGATTGTTGGCCTTTGATAAGTATGGCGGTGTTCTAACATTTGGCGGAAGGTGAAGATATGATCAATACATCGTCGACAAGAACGAAAACCAGTCTTCTCCTCGCGAGTCAATCTATCTCGGGTTTTGAACAACCTACGAAGTATGACGGAAGCCAATAGCTTGGACGCAATCGGAAGTAGACTTATCCTCCGATAGTTGTTGCAGGAACGACGTGAACCCTTTTTAAAGATAGGGACAACTATCGACTCATTCCATGACGTCGGTACACTCTCTAATTCCCAAACCTTTGTAAACAACGTCGTCAATTCCTTAGTCAGAAAGTCACCAACATCTTAAAAAAAAGGGCCGGAGGTAAGTCATCTGGGCCAGGTGATTTGTAACGCTTCAAGAGTTGGAGTTCCTTGCGGACTTCCTCCTCGTTTGGTGGATCAGTCGTTACCGGCCATGGGAGGCAGGACAGTCTGGCCGATGTTGCTGGAGCAGCAGGCAAGTTGAACTGCCGTTCGAAGAATTCTGCCCATCGTCCAAGACGTCGATGAATGTTAGTGATTGGCATCCCGTAATCCCCGCAGATTGTTTCACTTACACCAGACTTCTTGCTGCCAGTGGCTCGGAGGGGTTGGAAGAGCTTCCGGTAGTTACCAGATGCAGCTGCTGCTTCCAGCTCATTAGCACGCTTCGACCACCAGGCCTCTCGGTCCTTACGCAAGCTTTGCCCAATTTCCTTACGCAACATCCTTCGTTTATGGTCAAACTCACGGTCACCCGGAGTAGACCGATGGGCTTCGATGAGTTGT